GTAAGCATCGTTCGCAGATACAGCAAAGGGTTCATCTGCGGAAAACCCTTCCGGTTGTCTACAATCAGCGAGCGTCACAGCTGCAACGTTAGTTATATTCAGCCATACACCGTCCTTCTTCGCCAGGAAGAGCTGCAAGTTGCTGGCGGTGCGACCACACAGCGGAGCGCACGGAACTTGGTTGAAACATTACGTGCAGGCAACGGAAGCTGCAATAACCGCAACTTCCTGGAGCCTTCCAGTTCAGTTGCAATGCGGAAAATCGACCGCGTGTCCACTTTCCCCACTGCGACAGGCGACATCAAGCAATTCACATTGGTGTAAGTCGTGGTTTCGCCATCTGCGCGCTGCTTCTCCATACTAAAAACGCTGTCACGCAGCGACGACAGACTAATGATCTTTTCGTCCTCAAGTCGCTCTAAAATATGTTCACGACGTCGAGCACTCGTACCATCCACTTCTGCCCCACCAAGAGCCACTTTCAATGCCTTATTCGCCCGAACTGTGTATTGTCGTTCCACCTTAACTCCAGTCACTGTTACGTCGTCTCCGCTCGTAATTCTTGTCGTCTGGCTAGCTTGTGGCCTGGTGTTGTCTGTTCTCTTGTTGTCCTTGTCGGTGCTAGCAGTGGGCGCCATCGAGTCCAGGTACAGTCGGAAAGCTTTGTTCTTTCCCAGAATGATAGACTCGGCTTTGAGGCTGTACATCCCCGCCAACACGCCCACCAGTTTGTAGGGCAACTTGCTCCCTGGTAGCACAATTTGGTTACGCAAATCGATAATTGTGGCTCCATTATCGGCGCTGTCTTCAATAATCCCATAGATCTGGTGAAGCAACCCAAGCTCCAGCACAATTCCTCGATGGTACGCCGAGTTTTTGCGGGTGTTGGGCGGTTTATACCGCACACAATTTAGAATCTTAGGCTCAAGACTGGCACGTCGCGACGGCTGCAAAACTGCCTGAAACAATTCCAGCGGAAAGTTCTCGTCCGCCTTACACTCCTGCATAACATGAGAGCGAAGCACCTCCAGATGGCGCTTCTGCAAGCTAAGATCGCGTCCGAGATCCGACAGAACTGACGAGTGAGTCGGTAGTCCTTTCAAATACTTCTCTGCTGCAGCACATAAAATCTTCCTGCTCTGCTCGTCCGATTCAAAATCCGCAGACTCGTCAAACATTTGCGGTCTGAACTCTGCAGCGAACCGTGGCAGGTGGATGATGTTCAGGCGCCTCATCGCTGGCCGAGCCACGATCATCATCCGCTTGACCACCAGTCCGTTCGAAATGAGCGTATCCAGACAATTGTGCAGCCTCTTAACGGTTCCACCACTCAACAAACTGGTCAGAGTCGTCACTGTCACTCCCTGCACGCGCGCGCGACCCACTGCCTCGAGGATAACGAGATGTTCCGCTCCGAGGTCCGCGGCGATAGCCTTCACCGGGATATTGAGCGCTCGATGGCGTAGTTCTTCGCATGCTGCCACCATCACCTGTTTGTCTTGTTCCTGTTGCTCCGCCACTGCCTCTTCGTACGTGAGCAACGCCAGTTCCTCGGTCGTCAGCGCAGTCGTGTCATCTACCGCAAGAGCTCCAGCAGCTTGCAGCATCTCGCGTTTGATCTCTACTAGGTTATCTTCATTATCAGTGGGTCCAGGTCGTTTGCGCTTCTTGCTGAGCTTCTGAATAGAGGTCGCGGAGCCTCGGAAGAAGTGCAAGACGCCGTGACTCGAGCGCAGTCGCCGCCACACCTGCCGGCGCACAAACACGTCGTAACTCGACTCCACGCTGGAGAATAAAGAAGCTACAGACAATCCAGAGCTTCCTTCAAGCGCGATGTGGTCCATGCACGCGGCCACCAGATCGCGTGGCGAGCGCGAAGACATTGCGTCAAAGATGCTGGGGTTTGGATGGCGATGGTGATCGGAGTCACTAAATTTGGAATTTGTGATGGATTGATTCATGGTTCTAAATCGTGTTCCAGAACGGGATAAAACGGCCAATTGCAAGTGTCATAGAAACGTGAGCGCCAGTCAATCCTCCACTTTCCCCTTTCCGAGACACTGACGATGCATCCGACGGTGCTGCAGCAAGCGCGGCGGTCGCTGTGGCGAATGGCTCGCTGGCAATCCCAACTACCCGCGCGGGTACTGGCGCATAGCCTTTTAACACAATCTCTCAATGCATCTACTCACGCAGTCAGTGCCAATAATGACATCCTCACCGACCCGCAACCGCAGCTCCAGGAGCGCAAAACTACTACCAGTAACAAGAGTTTTAACCTCATGAACACACACTCTCTGGGGCGAGATGCGGCGCAGACTAGCGGTTCTAGCTCTGCGGCTTGGAAGCGGTCGACCAAGAAGAACCGATTCCGCCGGAAGAAGGGCAAGGGCAACAAGTGGTGGGCCGACATGGATCGCGTGTCTTTCCGCGTCCTACTGACTGAGGAAATGGGCTCCAACAAGGTTTCGTCGGTATTGCGCAAGTATATGAATGAGTTCCCGATTCTGAACAACAATTGGTCGGACCAGGAGCTCGTCATGATCGTCTGCACGCTCATTAAGATGAATCGCAGCGAGATGGCGCTCGAGGTGCTGCGTAACCAGATCAAGGAACCTGACCGCGATCGTGTTAACCGCGTGGCAGCAGCGAGTGCCCGAATGGGCAACGCACAAGTGGCTCTGGGCGTATTAGAGATCGCCAACCACTTCAACTTGGCGCCAGATGTGATTACTTTTACTAGTGCCATTCACGCCTGTGCCCGCAGTGGCAAGTACGACGTGCCAATGGCGCTGAATCTGCTGAACGAGATGATTTCCGCTAACGTCCAGCCTAATGCACGCACATACGGCGCAATGATCCTGGCGTATGCGCGGATGGACCGCTGGGAGGAAATCCTGGAGCTGGTGAATTCTATCCCGTATACGGACGAGGCACACAAGACGGAGGTCTTCACGTGCGCGATTATCTCGTGCTCGCGCAATCGACAGCACCACTATGCCTCCAGACTTTTTGAGTTGTTGCTGGAAGATGGCGTCTATCCGGGCGACAACGTCTGCAACGCTGCTCTTAGCTCCTGTGCACGGACTCCCGACGTGGCACAGCTTCGTCGCATCTTCAAGCTGGTGGAGAATCACGCTACACCTTCGACATACTCGTACAACTGCATGATCTCGGCTTATGGCAATGCTCGCAGCATGGATAAAGCGCTTAAAGTCTTCGAGAGCATGCAGAACGAAGCTACTATCGCTCCAGATATCGTGACTTTCAACTCGTTGCTTCTTGCTGCAGTGCGCTCGCGAAGGCTGGATATGTTTCCCTTCATTCTGTCGCTGATTAACGAAGCTGGCATCAAGTGGGATGCTATCACGCTCAACATTCTACTGGAGGGCTGCTCTTTGAATGGAGACATTGAATTGGCCCAATATTATTGGTCTCAGGCCACTCAAGGCAAACAGCCCAGCGCGGATGTGTCTTCAGAGGATAATCATCATGTTACCCTGGATCGCGGACACTTTGAGACGCTGATGGCGGTGTACATCGCTGCAGGGGATTATCAGGCCGTCGTGGATTTGTGGCAGAAGAGCAGGCTTTGTCGTCGTCGTGCAAAAAGCTCCAAGTCGCTCAATTTCCTCCTTCGTGCGTGCGAGGGTCTGAAATATGACAAGACGGCTGTGGCGGTCCTCGCTGAGTTCGCTGATCGTGGCCAGCCTCTCTCACCAATTGCGCACCAGCACATGCTGGAAGTTTTCCTTGCAGCTGACAAATACGACGCAGCGTCGGCTTATCTACACAAGATGATGGAGACGGATGGTTTAGTGTCCACCTTCTCATTTACCGTTCTTATGAAGTATCTGGCCAAGAACAAACGCCACTCGGATGTGCTGGCGGTGTTTAATCTGTACTTGGAAACTTGCGAGTCAAATGACCAGAACTCGCTGCTGCAATATCCAACGGATGCTGTCTACGTATTGGCGATGCGCTCGGCTGTGGAGCTGGAGGATCACGAAACTGTTCTTGCGATCTACAGCGGCTTGCCGACCACGATGTCTATGGCTGTTCATACAGAACTGCTCGTGTTGGCCGTGTCGTCTTGCGAGAGTGAAGGAGATTGGCGTGCTGCAGTCACAATGTATGATGAAATGACTGGGAGACTGGATGAAGACACGAATGTGGAAATGTACAAGCACATTGTCAAGATTGTCGCCAGTGCTGGGGAGTTTGATCGTGCCCTTGATGTGGGAGGTGGCCAATGGTATCGACAGAATAGACCCGACCAGGGCTGGGGGCTGTGAGTCAAGTGATTACCGCAAGTGCCTTGCAAGTTTCGTTCCTGTCGATTTACTCCTTGGCCTAAACGAGGTCGATACCCGAGTAGTATAGACCGAATTAACAATGCGACATCGTTCACTAAAAACTAACTTTATTGGAGGCAAATCTACTCCATCCATTTAATAGAGCCCACCAACAGATTGCGTGAAGGCAGCGGGCCCGGAGAAGGCACTAGCAGCACCAACTTCTGCTCGCTGACTCGAACTTCCTTACTGCACAAACAAGATAATTAGCATCATCGGTAGATTATGAAGCAGGGTGATAACATCATTCAGACACACTTACATGAACACGAAGCCCGCTGCAGAGGCACCGAGAAGCCACGAGAGATCTGTTGACGACGAGGAGGACTCTTGGCCGTGTCGTGGATGTGCAACAGCCGCCAATGAGTGTCCAAGTTCAGCGGTTTTCTCCACGGGTACTACGCGCAGGCGGTCAGTCTGCGTCTCCACTTGGCCTACCGGAAGCATCACGTCGGACACTTTCATATCTGTTCACGGCAGCAAATACGAGCCAATAGCTACGTAAGCAACAAAACTCGCAATTAAACCTTCAACAAAGGCCAACGCACCTTTAATCGCAAAGAATGACACATCGTCGAACGAGAGCTCATTGATACAGGGCGACAGCGTGGGGATGGCTACAGTCAGCGCGTGGGCGCCGTAAAAGTACTCGCGAATGCTGCTGATACGCGCCGCTGAGCGCATTTTGCTGTTCAGCGGGACCACTCCGCCCGACCGCGACAGCTTGACAATTGACCTGTCCGCTCCATTCGCATTCGCACCCGTCAGCGCACTCTGTAGACGACTGTAGAGTCTATCCTGGCCAATGACCAGCACCAAGTCCACGTCAAAATCCTTGATGGCGTGCACCAGCATGTCGAAGCCTGTGCCGTCCACCCAGCCGCACGTGTTGATGACGCATCCGGACGCGTTCACTTCTTCATCATTAGCTAGTCGACGCTTTACCGCCTTGGATAGTACCTGCTGCTGATAACGAAAGAGCTCGACGTTCTCGGAGGACGCAGCGTGGCCATAGAAATAGGCCAGCGGGTTAGTCAGGATGAAGTCCTCCTCAATACTGAGCGAGTTCATGTCAAGCGGCGAGGCAGAGATCGTTCCTGGGACGCTAAGACAGCCTTGACCCACATCTAGTTCCACAAGTGTGGGCTTCTCGCCTAGACGCAGCGCGTAGTTGACGAGAATTTGCGTGAGCGTCGATTTGCCGCTATCCACGGGTCCACAAACAAGCACACGCGGGCCTGCGGCATGCTTAGCCTTGGCCAGTTCGCGACGGCGCTGAAGCTGGGCGTGAATGTTTAGATAACTGTCCATAGGCGTCTCCTCTGACGTATAAGCCTCCTCCAGGGCACCGCGCACCTCTAGCGTGCAGCCATACCACGTAAAGATGGCCAGCTTGCGGTCGCGAAACACGTATTCACGATCGATGGCCAACTCGACGCCGAAGAGCTCGGCTGATCCACTCTTCAGCTTGATGCCTACTTCCGTCTGCGGCGGCACTTCCACGCGGTACTCGCATTCGCGTGCCACTACCTCTGTCGTCGTCGCAGCCTCCGTGCTCATGTTACTGTTCTCTGGATTTTATCCAGAGTTCTCTGGAATTTATCCAGACGACGTGATAATCCAGTAATTTCGTATACCCCGTCATAACCGTTTTGTATCGTTTGAGTGTTTAGCTACAGTGCCCGCCAAATCGGGGGTCTTAATGATTTGGCGGGTATAACAATCGATAAAAATATTTCCGTTGCACAAATAGTATTATGCACGTAGGTTGACCCCTTCACCAAAGATAAAGACAATTTACCTTTGTTAAATTTGTTTGCGATGTTACTGTATTGTAGCCTGCTAGAGCTACACCTTTTCCAGTCCAAATTGATCAAGAGCAAGTTATTGTGCTTTGCAGCCTTTTTGACAGTTTTAGTAGTAACTCGTACGATTTGTGAATGTATCGCTATCTACAAATCGTATTTAAGTACGATTTGTTGTAATCCGTGAGCGAGTAAGTGTTCCGGCATCAATAGAGTTCGTAGATGTACTGAGTAGCGCGGAGTCAACCCAACATGAGAAGCATTTCGTTTGGCACTTTTAAAAAGTGCCATTTCAAGACAAGTCTTACAGCATGGCGTATTCAAAAGACCTTCGTTGGCGTGCGGTAGAACTATTTTTGTTTATAATTATGAAGTGGTCCAGATAGGCCACGTGCTCGGAGCCTCGGCGCGCTCCATCTTGCGCTGGAATCAGCTTTTTTAAAGGCATGGCATGGTGACAGGCACGAAGCGGAGAAAGCGAGCCTCCCGGTGGCCGGCAGCTGTGTGCTCGTTCGTATTAAAGTACGTCCAGGACCACCCATGCTTTTATTTGGAGGAACTACAAGACACGCTTCGCTACAAGTTTGGGGATATTAAGCTGTCGACAGCAACAATTTGCAGAGCTCTTCGGTTCGATTTAGGGCTGTCAAGGAAGGTTTTAACTAAACGAGCACGCGAAGCTAAGGCCTACCAAGTGCAAGATTACATTGACAAGCTAACTCCCTTCTACTCAGCGCCCGAGCAGCTTGTATTTCTAGATGAGACTGCGAAGGATAGTCGCGATGGAGGCCGGCGATACGCATGGTCGAAGCGCAACACGCCTGCAGTGGTCACGTTGCCTTTTGTGCGAGGAGATCGGGTTTCCGTTCTGGTGGCCATGTCGACGGATGGTTTGTTTGGCTGGGGTTTCACAACTGGGACTTTTACCCGACACGTTTTTCACAAGACCTTTCACGAAAACATTTTGCCGTTTTTGAACCCATGGCCGCTTCCTCGCTCAACCCTCATACTGGAAAATGCCAAAATTCACATGTACAGGGAGCTGGAGGAAGTGGTTCACAGTGTGGGTGCGCTGATATTTTATCTACCACCGTACTGTCCTCAACTCAACCCGATCATAGTTGGGTTTTCACTGCTGAAGAGATGGATCCAGAAAAATACCAATTTGGCTTTTGCCTTTGCGCCGCAGGAAGTACTCGACTTGGCGATGTACGCCTGTACACGTGCGAAACAGGGAACGCGTGGAATCTACAAACATTGCGGATATGCATCTGATTCATTATTAATAAATGCTAGTGTAGCTGCTAGCGTTAAACAAACCCCATAATACAGCTACTGATGATCTTCATCCTTCATATTGTTTGCCGGAATGTTCATCGGTGTATCGGCGTTATGAGGGCGCCTGAGATCACAGTTCGGCAAGCCGAGGATACCGCGAAGATCATCCAGTGAAACAGCGATATTGACTTCGCTATCATTTATCATAATTTTTACCGTTCTAAAGCGGCGATCCAGTCGCCTTCGCTCAGCTTGTTGCTCATGCGCCATTTCGCGGCGAGCCTCGTCGACAGCACTGAGTTGACGATAGGTTGCGTGCTCGGGGACTGTTGGTTGAGTTCCATCTGGCTCACGCGCGTGCTGTGTAGCAAAGTATCGCAAAGCCAAACTATTTTGTTCAAGTGGGGGCTGGCTAGTAGCAGCGAGGTGCTCTCTAATTCGAATGGACGCTTCGTTGATCCGAGCTGTAGTTGATCGCCGAATCGAATTTTGAATCTGTACAATCATATCAAAGCCACAACACGTTAGTATTATAATTTGATACATTTGGAAGCAATTACATTCGTACCTTTACAGCATACACGAACACTAGCAGTCGGAAATCAGTCAGCGCAACTTTCCTGCGCTGTGAATTTCGCCAAGCTTGCACGACTTGCGTGTCAAATGATTCAGCACTTAGCTTGACAAACTCGCGCTGTTTCATGTTGGTACCAGGTTTAAGATACATGTCTTTTTCAGGCCACGATATGGCCTCTTGGGCGCTTAGAATTGCGTTCACCTTCGCAAGCAATACGGCATGTCCTTCAGCTGACCGTAAACTCAATGAGTGTGGTTGCTTGTGAACGGCTCGAACATCGTTCAGGGGCTCACCCAGTTTGATAGTCAAGACTACCTGGATCTCTTCATCGCCAAATATGTCTTGCACAGTGTCGCCGTTTGTAGTTGCGTTAGACTCCATGAATGAAAATGTGAAACAAAAGGTAATGCTGCCGGTCGCGGTTTTCTTCCTTGCGACTGCGCTTCTCATCTTGACGTCCATCTCGGCGTTCATCTCGGCGGCTCTGATACTTCCGCTTGTCATCTCGGCCTCGTGCGATCACGAGTCGGTCGCGTTGCTTCTTACGCTTCTCGCCGAGGATCCGACGATTGATTATCTGTTCCACCTTACTGATGTCTTCCAGCTGCAAGGGGTACATCAAATCCATCACATCGTCATCACCACAATGCAGCAAGAAGTGTTCGACATGGTCAGCCGCGTCGGCTCCACCCTTCTCGTACTGAATCTTGGCTGTCCGAGCATACCCGTTGAGTCGGATCAGGAAGTCGCAGATCGGTTCGTTGACTTTACGTCTCGCCGAGTAGTAACGAGTGCGGGCGGATTGGTCGAACTGTGAGCAGTAATAATCCAGGAACGCCTCGCTGAGTAGTTTCCAACGTCGCTGAGTCTTCTTCGGCAGCTGCCTGTACCAACTCTTCGCCGCGCGTCCCAAGCATAGCGAGAAAGGCTCGCACCATGCATTTTGGGGCATCCTGGTGCTCTTCATCTCGTAGATGAAACGCTTGAGCCACTGGAGCGACGCGTCAGAGCGGTAGCGCTTTCCTTCGAACTCGGCGATTTTGTCGAGCGAGGCGTGGGTTCGGACTTCTAGGTACTGCGTCGAGTCCTCTTCAGCCGCGTCAAAGCTCAAGTTTCGGATGTAGTCCTTCATGGTTTCTTCACGGTTACCTCTCACGTCGAAGGTGTCGTCGTCTTCTTCATCCTCCTCGTAAGCCTCAGCTTCGTCTGCAGCGTCATACAGCTCACGGTAACGACCAACATTCCGCTGTCCACGACTCGGCGCTCGCTGAGTCGGGTTTAGCTTCATTGGAGTCAGCATGTGGGAGTCTTTGAAGTACGGAGTCCCTTGCGTAGCGCGGAACACTTCACGTCTCTTCGTCTCCGGGGTCTTCGGTAAAGGAATCTTGCTTGGGTCTTCGCCGAGTGGTTTGAAGTCGGCTACTCGGCTGTACACCTTATTCGTTCCACCAGGGGCCTTCTCCAATCCAAACGCCACTCTCAACTTCTTCTTCCATTGCCATAGCTCAGCCACACCACGGGTCAGACTCCAATCGGACAGGATGAGGCTGTTTGGTCGGCTGTTGCACCGATAGCCCATCGCCTTCAACAGCAACACAGTTTCTTCCACCAACTGATTGATGTTGGCTGCACGCACCGGTTGAGTTAACTCAGGACCCAACATCGGCCACTTCGCTTGCGCCATCGCCACAGGCGCGAACATCATCATCCATTCCGATCTTGTTCTCATCTCCTCGCCGAGTCGAGCCAACACTTTATTGGCGCTCGGCGTATCGGCGTTCCTCGTCGCTTTCGGAATAAGGGGCGGACGGTCCCCTTGAGCAACGCCATGTTCTTCTTCATCTTCTTCATCGTCCGCACCTTCGTCGAGCTCGGCGGATAAGTTGCGCTCGACAGGACGTGTGGCTCCCATGCGTCCCACCGGCAGCGTCAACTCTTCCACCTCGCCAAGTAGCTCGGCGGTGTGCGCTTGGCTGTGTGTGAGTTTGTTTAACGTTTGTTTGGCGTTTGTTTGGCGTTTGTTTTGGTTAATAGAAGGTGCTCCCAAATAGTCTAGGCGGTTAGGATAAGTGGCTTTCACCCACGCGACCCGGGTTCGAATCCCGGTTTGGGAATTTTGCTGTGCTTTTTCAATTCTTCGTTCCGTCATGTATTTAGCGCTCGTTGTGCTTGCTGGTACGACGTTCGGATGGCAGTATTGCTAGGGATGGAGAGTGGTTCGGCTTAGCACTCGCAGGGTCAGCGACCAGCCGGTGGGTAAGCGTGGCGAGAACGGCGGTGTCAGATTCGGGTTTGAAACAACCGTTCCTGCGTGGTAAAGGTCTTTAAAGGTGCTGGATGCAATGTTGAAGGCGGCATTGCGCGTGGCCTTGGTGTGGTGCGCTTGGTTGTGTGTGAGTTTGTTTGGCGTTTGTTTTGGTTAATAGAAGGTGCTCCCAAATAGTATAGGCGCTTAGGATACGTTGGTTTCACCCACGCGACCCGGGTTCGAGTCCCGGTTTGGGAATTTTGCTGTGCTTTTTCAATTCTTCGCTCCGCCATGTATATAGCGCTCGTTGTGCTTGCTGGTACGACGTTCGGATGGCAGTATTGCTAGGGATGGAGAGTGGTTCGGCTTAGCACTCTGTGGTGTAGGGATTTCCAGATTCGACCATACGCCGACCTACTTTAGGTCAAGAATCGGCTCGGTCTGATAACCCAGAGCTTAAGAACAAAAGATCACGGTAAGTACTTGGCGATCTGTCCGGATATGCTAACCGGATAGCCGCTGAGCTCAACGGTCGCCCGAACGCAGCTGAAGGGTCGGTAGAGATCCGAAACGACTACATTTCACTAGATATTTGTATAGGAAGCATAGGATTAAATAGGGAGAGCCGAAAAGGCTCCCAGAAGATAACAGA